AACAAAATGGAAGCCTCCCATCGATCCACTTTACTAAACCTCCATGGCCGACTTAAGCAGGAACTTCCAGGAGGTATACACGACTCTTTGCCTCTGTAGGGAGAGTCTTTTTTCCCCTGGATTGTAGTAAATGCCAATGAAAACATGATTAGAAACCTCTCCCTAACATTAGGAGAGCTAGCCGATTCGACAGCCAAAAACAGTAGCAGCCCAACAAAAATCACTTAACTCATTGGCTAAGGTAGTCTTAGCCCTCAATACTTATCTGCTGAGCAGGAAGGCATTTCTGTGATAGCAGACACCACCAATTGCACATGGACAAAATCTTCTGGGGAAATGGAAATTCAGTTGCATAGAGTCAGGGAGCAAGCGCGCTGGTTGCAACAAGTCTCACCTGACTCTCAATGGCCCTTTGATTTGTTCGGTTGGCTATGTTCAGGCCTAGGGTCCTAGTTTAGAACTATCATAAGCAACTAGAAGGATGTGCAACTAAGACACACAACTATCTACTGGGGCTTTGGGGGAAAAAAATAAATAAAATTATATAAAAAAAAACCATAATACAATTTGGAACTGTCATGCTACTTTTGATTCTATTTTGTGTAATTATTGTTTTGTACTCATTGCCTGCCAAACTTTTTGTAAAAACAATGTACCTGATAAGGTGATGCTGGCTCAACGCTTTGAAATGATCTCCAACGCTTACAACCTTGATAAGATACAGACTTTAGATGGGAAGTGCCTGAGAGTTCTCCCTCTTAGCCCTCCTTGTTCCTTGAATGTGACCTCAATAGGTGTCCAGTCTGTGCACTTTTCCTCCGACAGGGAACACACCACTGAATTCTTGACAACAATGCTTCTGAAGAAAGATCTTGATCAAAAGGGGAAAATGTGACAGAATAAAGGGAACTTCATTTAAAATGGGTGCAGGCCAGAAGGGGGAGCCTCACACACTACTACTCAATGTCAATTACAGACCCGACAGGAAGAATTGTCTGTTACCACCCCAGCAAGAGGATTTCCTCCCTGACCAGCAACTCAGCCAATGAGAGTGTTTCACCACCCTGAACTCTCACTCTTCTCCAATGGATTTTTGTTCAAAACAACCTCTTCCAACTTCCTCCTTTTTCTCTATAACGTTCCTCTCCTTTGTTTGCTGGACTTGCCTATGGCTTTTGCTATAGCCTGCTTGTCCTGAATTGCAATTCCTCAGTATTCCTGAATAAACTCATTTTGCTGTAAAATAACTGGCTGTTGGCTGTTTTGTTTAGGTCAACAAAGCAGTGGTGCCATTGGTGACTTCTGAAGTCTGACCACATTTTCTAGTTGTTTATTTCTTTTTTTTTATATATAATTTTATTTATTTATTTTTCCCCTAAAGCCCCAGTAGATAGTTGTATGTCATAGTTGCACATCCTTCTAGTTGCTGCATGTGGGATGCGGCCTCAGCATGGCCGGAGAAGCGGTGCATCGGTGCGCATCCGGGATCCGAACCCGGGCCACCAGCAGCGGAGCGCGCGCACTTAACCGCTAAGCCACGGGGCCGGCCCTCTAGTTGTTTATTTCTGCTGTGGGACCTGTAGCTCAGAGTATGGGTGAAGGAGAATTAGTCATCCCTGCTGGAAGTTTTCTTAATAGCCTATACTTGCATTATTTTGAAAACTTCTTGCTATTCTTTTTAAGTAAATGTGATTTCTTTGAGGGATGAGAATTTTACATATGTGGAAATCTCTACCAATTATTCTGAATACACAGAATGTTAATGTGCGGTAGGTAGGTATAACCCTGATACGCACACGAGGAGTACCCTAGTGGAACATAGATGGCATTGTAAGTAAAGTATCATTTATCCTAATAGGAGTGAGTCAAGTTTGTGCCCCTTGATATGTACAAATTCCTTGAGTGGAATTAAACACTTCCCACAAAGCAAGTTGAGAATGAACCAACGACAACGAGCCTACTACGGCAGTTGTCCCCGGGATACCCCTGACCCACTGGGCCTTGTGATAGGGCTGCAGTGACCTCAGCAGACACATTTTATTGAAGTGAGGTCAAGGTCCAATTTTCGTGACTTACATTTGGGATCAGTGATGTGAAGAGAACTTAAGTACCAAAAGGGGCTTGTTGCAGGGCTGTCTGGGGAAGAGGCAGGAAAGAGTTTTGTTTTTCCTTAACTGTTGGGAGACCATGGGAGTCAGAAATAGCAGCATGAAGATAATGGAGACTGTTTTAGTGTTGTTTTGTTACCTATCAGTGGCCAGAAAAACCCTGATTCCAGGCAGAAGAAATGAAAAGAAAAGCAGCTCTCAGGGACTCACGCCCAAGACGCGGGAGGAAGTCCTTATAAAGCTATGAAGCGGTGACTGGGGCAAAGTCTGTCCAAAGGAAACGGATCTGAGAAGAAACCTTCTGAATGTCTTAGCTGTGGAGGCCAGCTTGAGGATGGACAGACAAATAACTGAAGCCATTGGAAAGCAGATAGACAGACAAAGCATTAGATAAGCAGACGTCAGAGGCCAGAAAACAATTTCACCAAATTAAAATACAAATGTAGTCAAGACAACCAAAATCCCATTGAGGAACTTATTCCCAGGAATGAACACACACACACGTGCACACACACACACACACTCATGGTGCTGAGGGACTTACTCCGAGGAACACACACACACACACTCATGGTGCTGAGGGACTTATTCCGAGGAACACACACACTCA